CTTTCAAAAATAATCACAAAGTAGCCAGAGTAAAACAATGTGTTGAAAACAATTCATACAAACTTTAGAAAGAGGAGAAAACGTCAAAAGTGTCTATAATTTCTTTTCTTTTTTTTTTTTTTAAGAAAACATCTGCTGATCTTTAGGGGTGTTTCTTGGAAAAGTTCACTGTTTCTTTGGAACCTGGTTTGTTCATTTACTTTACACTTAATAGAGTAGTTTTGTAACTTTACAGTCTCATTCGTTTGGATGTTATCAGTGGTTCCTGATAATATCAGGCGGTTGCTGGTCAGGCCAGTGGAGCAGGCTCATCAAAACTCTGAATTGATCCCGACAAGGAAGAGATTTCATAAAAATAAAAATAAAAACTAAATATGCAGAAGCAAAAACACAAGAATGTGTGATATGTGTTTAATTTAAAACATACTTGGATTTTGAAAAAACTAACCTATTGACCAACAGAAGTGACAAATGCTGTCAAAGTGTATGATTATTGCTACAACTCACCGAGTGCTAACTGAGGCAGGTCACACTGACCTTCTGGCAAACAACCTCAGTTAGCATCTCTACAAAATGCTTAATGTTTGGCATGAACAGTCACAATGATGAGGATAATTTGATGTTATACCTCAGAACTGGTCTGGGAAGAGCTGTCTTCCTGACAGGAAGGGACTCCAGTTTGAGAAGCTGTTAGACAGGATGATGTCTGCAACCTTTGTCTACTCTGGGCCCTGTTGATGAATGCTGACAAAACAGGGGTTTTTATTGAGTTCAGGTTGTAATCCTTACACTGGTCTAAAGTTGCTTTAAACTGCTTAAAAAAAAAACAAACAAAAAAAAACAATGCAACAAAGTTTTCTATGCTGTTGTTTAAATGTGGATAGAATGATTAGATTTATTTTGTCCACTTTGACACTCTACAGGTTTTGTTGTCTGATCAGAGCATCTTCTGCCACATGCTTGCTCTGTCCCCTACTTTGCTTGGAAAAACTATAATTAGGACGCCAAACAGTTTTCTTTTAACAAAGTCTTCTTTCGTCCATTTAGGTAAAGTGAGTGGCTGATAGTTCACCCACCTGAGTCATGGATCTCTGCAAACTCCTTTAAAGTAAAATGCTCTATATCAGGCAGCAAGAGCAACAACAAGGTGCTTTCTGACCAAGAAACGTCACCCGTCATCTGAACCCTTAGTAATAGTCACTACACATCTCTAAGACACTAAACAGGAAATAAGTTTGAACCAGAATATGCCTCGCGTGGAAGCTGAGAACCGAATGTTGTAATTTTACTCTTGCAGGTCTGATGGGCAGGAAAAACCACCTCAGTTCTGTTTGTGTATTCACTCAGGTCTTCACAGAACAGCTGGATTTATACTGTGATTAAATTACACACTCACAGACTGTTTACCAGTAACACGACTTCTCATTGCAGTTGTTTGCATTGAATTTAAATCAATATATTGCGTGCTGGGATTTAAATTTTAAAAACAGTCAGAAAACCATGTATTATTTTTCTCCCGCTTCCTAATTATTCACTACTTTGTTTGGATACGTCAAACAAAAGTCCCCAAAACCCACATTTGAGAGTGTGGTTTTAATTTGATAAAGTTATGAATTTTTCAACAAGTCACTATACGTTTAAAAAAAAAAAAAGTTAGCCAGCCTTTGCTTTTGACCATAAATCCTGGCTGCAAATCTTAGTCTGCTGTAGCAGCTATTGGGTCCTGTGACATCCTGTGGGCTGAGTCTGATTCCCTGAAGCCTGTTTTGGTATGCGGTGAGTGTGTCCCCCGGGAAATATTGTGTTACACCGGCTGCTGGTTTTTGGATCAGAAATATACACAGAATACGGCGGTACGAGGAGCTGAGGAGTGCGGATAAAAAAATACTGATGTCATGTTTGGATAAGTGGTTTGCAGAGGTGCTCAGACATTCAGGGCAGTATTTAATCTGCCCACATGCTTCATAATCATTGTTTTTGAAATCTGAATAGCAACATGAACAGATGTACATATTTCTATATATATATATATATATATATATATGAGAATCCATTCAAACTGGGTGTCCACATGTTCCCACTTAAGGGCATTTCTGTTTTTTTTTTTTTTCACATAATCAAAAATGACAATGGAACAATACACATCTATTTAGGCGCTTGTGTCTCTGAAATGCAACCAGTGCGAACGAGGAGGTGCAGCAGGCTCTGCGCGGCAAAGAAGTTGAAGGAGTTCAGTACCTTCACGAGTTACGCCACACTGCCTTGCTTTGTGTGCAGGCCTGTTTCCTGCATTCACAGGAAACAGCCTCATTGAAAACAGATTTTTCCCTGACAGTTGATTTGGGGCAAAGCCCAGCTGAAACGACTATCAGCTGCTGCAGCCTGAACTCGGAGAAGGAAGAAGGAATGGCGAGAGAGGGCAGCTTTGAAACTCATCCCCCTCATCTTATGGGGCGTGGGGGTATTTCCTTCATTAGTTTCTCTTTTTATTACCACATACTCTTCTTCTTCTTCTTCTTCTTCTTCTTCTTCTTCTTCTTCTTCTTCTTCTTCTTCTTCTTCTTCTTCTTCTTCTTCTTCATTCTCCGCAAGTGAGGCTCATGTTTCCCCCGCAAAGCAGTGTTTGGTTTTCTAAATGTCAACACACGGGAGCCTAACTGCGTGGAGGACTTAGCCCGGCCTCCGCGGTTCAGAGGGGATCCACGCAGAGCGGCGGTCAGATGGAGCTGCCGGGGTCCAAACATAAATATAGCGAGCAACATGCCATCACAGCATGCTTTTAACCCTTCAATCAGAGACAGTTAACATCTGAGCATCACTGTAAAGATCAGCCATTCAACCGCCGGGTATATAAAACTGCCAAGAGAAATCTAAGTGACCCAGGTCTCAACCCAAACAGAGCTTCTCTGCTGCACATGTCAGGAACATGGATAGTTTCACACGCAGCTGCGAATTTACAGCTCTGCGTTGCTGTTTAGCTTGCGCAACTGTAGTATGAGTAAAGATTTTACAGTTTCAGTTCATCTAATTCATCTTTTTTTCTTGAGGAGAAATGTTTACTTCTCCACAGCCCTCCATCCCCAATTAGCATACATTGTTTTACTGGAAATTCCTGAAATGGCAAAGCAGTTTTTGTTGTTGTTGTTATTGTTGTAATATTGGTTTGATTCCCTCACAAAACATCATTAGTAGTACATCATTTCTAATGTGAGACTGGGAAAAGTGCAGGCGACTCCTCAGCAACCCAAAGGAAGGAATAGCTCCTTAAATTTACCCGGGCATCACCCAGTAGCAGCCATCATTCCTCTCGGGTGCTGTAGCCTGGATTACCATGGCGATAACCTTGGGGTCAGGGGAAGTGTGCCAGGCGTTGGACCCCCCACACAGCAGGCAGCATCCCCAAGAGGCTGCACAGTTACGTCTCTGGAGACAATTGTTTACCTTATGTCGGTTTAAAGTGGCCTAAGTGACCGAGCAGAAGTCGAACTTAAACAATAACAGAATCTCTCCTGTTTCTTGGGATTTTAGGACGGGAACTGGTTTGTACCATCTGCGCTGATATAAGTGGATTAGCAAAACACAAAGCATTTTCACTGCAGCTGTGTGGGAAATTTCTCAGAAACAAAGCCTTCCGGTTTATTATTTATGTGGTAAAGAACACATTAAAAAAGTTAAAGTGGCTGGGAAATAATATGGAAGAATATGAAGATTTGAGATTTTTATTTTTTTATTTTTTTGCTGAACTCAATTTAATAAGTTACAAATATGGTTCTGCCTTTAGCCTACAAAGGAATTTGCTTTGATGGGAACACTTTTAATGTATTTGCATAGTGCAAACATGTCATGAAATGCTAAAGAGGGTTTTTTTAAATCTTGAAAATATTGTTCACAGGGGCATGCTGACCACCACCGTGTTCTCATTACTCCTCTCATTGTAAGTGCATAGGAAGTGGAAACATTATTCATGTAAATGTTGAAAGCAAAGAGCTGCATCATGTGCACATATGAAGATGTGACGTCATGCAGTTTTCATCCACTAAACTTTCCATTTATATACTTGCATGCATCGCTTCATGGAGTTTTCGTGAACCGTAAGCCATAATCATAAAAAAAATAACAGAAAAAATGTTAGAAATATATCACTGTGAACAATAAATTAGTTTCACTTTTTTTCAAATTGAGTTACTTAACATAAGTAATCCTTCGGATGTTCTTATAAACTAGAGATAAACTTGCAGGACTTAATACACTAACTTACCTGTAACTTTGTTAAAGGCTGTGCAGATATTTCCCTTTTTTAGATGCAGTCCACACAGCAAGATGCTTCAAACCCTGTGCATTACACACAGCAATGATGTCTCCATCGCAAATGGATGCACTAATTAGACCATTGCTGTTAGTCTGTAAGATGTACCTACAAGCCAAAAATATTACTTATTTGAAATCCAGACACAAATATATTGACAGACATTATTGTTTTTATGTATATAGTATTTTTGTTGCATTCTTGCAGAAATTAGAGCTAAAATTGCCTACCCATTCAGTGGTTATTTCTTATCTGCATTTTTTTTTTTTTTTTTTGCAAGAGCAAACATTTATCCTGTTTATTCCATCCTCCCTTTCTGCACACATTGGGTGGCAGAATCCTGCAACGTTGAATCACTTCACTTCAGATAGATTCTCAGAGACTCTGTGGATGTCCTTTTTATATTCAGTCAATTTTGACATATCACAAATTCAATAAGTTCATTTGTTTCTCCTTTACTTGTTTTTTTTTTTTGCATTTTGTCATATTTTGTGTTTGTATATTATGCTTGCCGTCTTTCCTAATGGTACCGGTAAAATAAACATTTTAGTTGTAACTTGTTTATGCAGATAAAATGAATACTACTGTCACTGCATTAACACAAAACGTAGACAATATATTATTTGTTGAATGATGTTTTTCTAACAAGTGGACTGTCAAAGCTGTGAAAATGAATATGATTAATGCTTTAAACCTTCTCTTATGTGGATCCTTATCATCAGTCTTCATCTTGGCCAACACTCTTCTCTCTGCTGCATGCCGGTCAGGCTCCATGCTTATCTTTTGTTCTGGTGGGACAGACCTCATCTTACCTTCCAGGTGCTCACATTAGCCTCTTGTATCTTAGCAACCAGTCAGTGAGCTGCATCTTGGAGCGATGAGGGAGATGTGGGCTCACTGTGGACTCCACAAGCACCACCCCTAAATCATTCAAAACATCCGCCCGATTGAATCCTGTGTTATTCCTGCAATACTAAAACTTTGTCCCAGGTTCACATATACCCCATCCTTCACAATAAGCAAAACAGGTACTAGCATAAAAGCACTAAATCCCACCGAGGACAGGAATGAATGCACAACGGATTCCTTTAAATCTAGACTAAAAACCCCACTGGTTCAGATGTGCTTTTGAAGCACAATAAATGAAACATTGACCAACATTTTCATGTGCAACAATGGCAACGCTTATTGGTTTACTGTGTGGTGTCTTTATGACAGAGCACTTTGCCTTGCTGCTGAAATGTACCACACAAACAAACTTGACTGACTGACTGATAAATAGCTTTAGGGAGAGAACCTGAGTGCTGAAAGCTACGCAAAGTGAAGGTTTCTGCAACTTCCCATGTGGGAGAGGGGGATTCTGTCCACAAAGCTTTTCACAGGGGGGGGGGGGTTGGAGGAGAGATGCTCTTTTTTTTTTTTTACACAGCCAAACAGTTTTGGACCAGGCTTCAGGGTGTGTGCTGCAACCTTCGGCTGGGAAAGAATGTGCTCTCTTCTTCCTTTTATGCCTCCTGCTCTTGTCTATATTTGAACATGAGAACCTCAGCTGTGGTGTACCAGATGCTTTTTCTCTGGGTTCAGACTGGGAGTTTCTTCTTGGTGTGGCCTTGTGATTAAACACTGTGGCAGGGAGAGAATTTGAGCAGCTTGGGACTCCCTCCATCGGTCAGAGTCCCCATGCAGCAATACAGCTCTGCGGTCACAGGGAGACTGAAGCTATTATCTTACACATTGTTCAAATTTAGGTATCGGATTTTGGTCGCAGTCCCTGCTGATTTTCTTTTCTTTCTCGAAAAACAGTCAGGGAGCATTTGTGTGGCCTTATTTTATGTCCAGTTGGTCAGTAAATTATTGGCATGATGAAGATAAGGGCTTTTTAAAATATCACATATCAGAGCAAAAATAGCAACGTGGTCTTAACCAAAACCAGATGAGCTGCAGGGGCAAACGTCTCCCCCTCGGTGTTTATACTGAGAGTCCCACTTTCATTCTGCACGTTTTCTGTCTTCTTTTATCACCTTTATCTTGTTGCAGCTTGTCACGGCTGTGCGAACATCACAGTGCAGATCGCTGTGATTTTTAGAGGTGGGGTTCAGCAAGTGGTCCGTTGCCCCGTTTCTTTCACTAAAGCTTTTTACACCAGGATGTTAGGAGGAAGGGGAGGGTGGGAGCTGCACAACACTGCCTTGTACTGATGTGCTAACAATAACAAACTATTCAGAAACTGCATATGAACCGACAATAACTTACTGTAGGGTTGTACTATTCCCAATTTTAGTAGCATGCGTCTTCTTTCTGGAAGTTGTATTCAAGTCTTGGAGTGGCCTAGTCAAAGTCCAGACTTTAATCTATGGATGGAGCAAAATATTAGGGTCATGGGAAGGAGGTCTTCGAATCTTAAACACCTGAACCTCATCACTACAGACAAATTGTAAGAATACCAGAGAAGTAAGACAAAAAGTTGGTCAGCAATTAACAGAAGNATTAGGACGCCAAACAGTTTTCTTTTAACAAAGTCTTCTTTCGTCCATTTAGGTAAAGTGAGTGGCTGATAGTTCACCCACCTGAGTCATGGATCTCTGCAAACTCCTTTAAAGTAAAATGCTCTATATCAGGCAGCAAGAGCAACAACAAGGTGCTTTCTGACCAAGAAACGTCACCCGTCATCTGAACCCTTAGTAATAGTCACTACACATCTCTAAGACACTAAACAGGAAATAAGTTTGAACCAGAATATGCCTCGCGTGGAAGCTGAGAACCGAATGTTGTAATTTTACTCTTGCAGGTCTGATGGGCAGGAAAAACCACCTCAGTTCTGTTTGTGTATTCACTCAGGTCTTCACAGAACAGCTGGATTTATACTGTGATTAAATTACACACTCACAGACTGTTTACCAGTAACACGACTTCTCATTGCAGTTGTTTGCATTGAATTTAAATCAATATATTGCGTGCTGGGATTTAAATTTTAAAAACAGTCAGAAAACCATGTATTATTTTTCTCCCGCTTCCTAATTATTCACTACTTTGTTTGGATACGTCAAACAAAAGTCCCCAAAACCCACATTTGAGAGTGTGGTTTTAATTTGATAAAGTTATGAATTTTTCAACAAGTCACTATACGTTTAAAAAAAAAAAAAAGTTAGCCAGCCTTTGCTTTTGACCATAAATCCTGGCTGCAAATCTTAGTCTGCTGTAGCAGCTATTGGGTCCTGTGACATCCTGTGGGCTGAGTCTGATTCCCTGAAGCCTGTTTTGGTATGCGGTGAGTGTGTCCCCCGGGAAATATTGTGTTACACCGGCTGCTGGTTTTTGGATCAGAAATATACACAGAATACGGCGGTACGAGGAGCTGAGGAGTGCGGATAAAAAAATACTGATGTCATGTTTGGATAAGTGGTTTGCAGAGGTGCTCAGACATTCAGGGCAGTATTTAATCTGCCCACATGCTTCATAATCATTGTTTTTGAAATCTGAATAGCAACATGAACAGATGTACATATTTCTATATATATATATATATATATATATATATGAGAATCCATTCAAACTGGGTGTCCACATGTTCCCACTTAAGGGCATTTCTGTTTTTTTTTTTTTTCACATAATCAAAAATGACAATGGAACAATACACATCTATTTAGGCGCTTGTGTCTCTGAAATGCAACCAGTGCGAACGAGGAGGTGCAGCAGGCTCTGCGCGGCAAAGAAGTTGAAGGAGTTCAGTACCTTCACGAGTTACGCCACACTGCCTTGCTTTGTGTGCAGGCCTGTTTCCTGCATTCACAGGAAACAGCCTCATTGAAAACAGATTTTTCCCTGACAGTTGATTTGGGGCAAAGCCCAGCTGAAACGACTATCAGCTGCTGCAGCCTGAACTCGGAGAAGGAAGAAGGAATGGCGAGAGAGGGCAGCTTTGAAACTCATCCCCCTCATCTTATGGGGCGTGGGGGTATTTCCTTCATTAGTTTCTCTTTTTATTACCACATACTCTTCTTCTTCTTCTTCTTCTTCTTCTTCTTCTTCTTCTTCTTCTTCTTCTTCTTCTTCTTCTTCTTCTTCTTCTTCTTCTTCTTCTTCATTCTCCGCAAGTGAGGCTCATGTTTCCCCCGCAAAGCAGTGTTTGGTTTTCTAAATGTCAACACACGGGAGCCTAACTGCGTGGAGGACTTAGCCCGGCCTCCGCGGTTCAGAGGGGATCCACGCAGAGCGGCGGTCAGATGGAGCTGCCGGGGTCCAAACATAAATATAGCGAGCAACATGCCATCACAGCATGCTTTTAACCCTTCAATCAGAGACAGTTAACATCTGAGCATCACTGTAAAGATCAGCCATTCAACCGCCGGGTATATAAAACTGCCAAGAGAAATCTAAGTGACCCAGGTCTCAACCCAAACAGAGCTTCTCTGCTGCACATGTCAGGAACATGGATAGTTTCACACGCAGCTGCGAATTTACAGCTCTGCGTTGCTGTTTAGCTTGCGCAACTGTAGTATGAGTAAAGATTTTACAGTTTCAGTTCATCTAATTCATCTTTTTTTCTTGAGGAGAAATGTTTACTTCTCCACAGCCCTCCATCCCCAATTAGCATACATTGTTTTACTGGAAATTCCTGAAATGGCAAAGCAGTTTTTGTTGTTGTTGTTATTGTTGTAATATTGGTTTGATTCCCTCACAAAACATCATTAGTAGTACATCATTTCTAATGTGAGACTGGGAAAAGTGCAGGCGACTCCTCAGCAACCCAAAGGAAGGAATAGCTCCTTAAATTTACCCGGGCATCACCCAGTAGCAGCCATCATTCCTCTCGGGTGCTGTAGCCTGGATTACCATGGCGATAACCTTGGGGTCAGGGGAAGTGTGCCAGGCGTTGGACCCCCCACACAGCAGGCAGCATCCCCAAGAGGCTGCACAGTTACGTCTCTGGAGACAATTGTTTACCTTATGTCGGTTTAAAGTGGCCTAAGTGACCGAGCAGAAGTCGAACTTAAACAATAACAGAATCTCTCCTGTTTCTTGGGATTTTAGGACGGGAACTGGTTTGTACCATCTGCGCTGATATAAGTGGATTAGCAAAACACAAAGCATTTTCACTGCAGCTGTGTGGGAAATTTCTCAGAAACAAAGCCTTCCGGTTTATTATTTATGTGGTAAAGAACACATTAAAAAAGTTAAAGTGGCTGGGAAATAATATGGAAGAATATGAAGATTTGAGATTTTTATTTTTTTATTTTTTTGCTGAACTCAATTTAATAAGTTACAAATATGGTTCTGCCTTTAGCCTACAAAGGAATTTGCTTTGATGGGAACACTTTTAATGTATTTGCATAGTGCAAACATGTCATGAAATGCTAAAGAGGGTTTTTTTAAATCTTGAAAATATTGTTCACAGGGGCATGCTGACCACCACCGTGTTCTCATTACTCCTCTCATTGTAAGTGCATAGGAAGTGGAAACATTATTCATGTAAATGTTGAAAGCAAAGAGCTGCATCATGTGCACATATGAAGATGTGACGTCATGCAGTTTTCATCCACTAAACTTTCCATTTATATACTTGCATGCATCGCTTCATGGAGTTTTCGTGAACCGTAAGCCATAATCATAAAAAAAATAACAGAAAAAATGTTAGAAATATATCACTGTGAACAATAAATTAGTTTCACTTTTTTTCAAATTGAGTTACTTAACATAAGTAATCCTTCGGATGTTCTTATAAACTAGAGATAAACTTGCAGGACTTAATACACTAACTTACCTGTAACTTTGTTAAAGGCTGTGCAGATATTTCCCTTTTTTAGATGCAGTCCACACAGCAAGATGCTTCAAACCCTGTGCATTACACACAGCAATGATGTCTCCATCGCAAATGGATGCACTAATTAGACCATTGCTGTTAGTCTGTAAGATGTACCTACAAGCCAAAAATATTACTTATTTGAAATCCAGACACAAATATATTGACAGACATTATTGTTTTTATGTATATAGTATTTTTGTTGCATTCTTGCAGAAATTAGAGCTAAAATTGCCTACCCATTCAGTGGTTATTTCTTATCTGCATTTTTTTTTTTTTTTTTTTGCAAGAGCAAACATTTATCCTGTTTATTCCATCCTCCCTTTCTGCACACATTGGGTGGCAGAATCCTGCAACGTTGAATCACTTCACTTCAGATAGATTCTCAGAGACTCTGTGGATGTCCTTTTTATATTCAGTCAATTTTGACATATCACAAATTCAATAAGTTCATTTGTTTCTCCTTTACTTGTTTTTTTTTTTTGCATTTTGTCATATTTTGTGTTTGTATATTATGCTTGCCGTCTTTCCTAATGGTACCGGTAAAATAAACATTTTAGTTGTAACTTGTTTATGCAGATAAAATGAATACTACTGTCACTGCATTAACACAAAACGTAGACAATATATTATTTGTTGAATGATGTTTTTCTAACAAGTGGACTGTCAAAGCTGTGAAAATGAATATGATTAATGCTTTAAACCTTCTCTTATGTGGATCCTTATCATCAGTCTTCATCTTGGCCAACACTCTTCTCTCTGCTGCATGCCGGTCAGGCTCCATGCTTATCTTTTGTTCTGGTGGGACAGACCTCATCTTACCTTCCAGGTGCTCACATTAGCCTCTTGTATCTTAGCAACCAGTCAGTGAGCTGCATCTTGGAGCGATGAGGGAGATGTGGGCTCACTGTGGACTCCACAAGCACCACCCCTAAATCATTCAAAACATCCGCCCGATTGAATCCTGTGTTATTCCTGCAATACTAAAACTTTGTCCCAGGTTCACATATACCCCATCCTTCACAATAAGCAAAACAGGTACTAGCATAAAAGCACTAAATCCCACCGAGGACAGGAATGAATGCACAACGGATTCCTTTAAATCTAGACTAAAAACCCCACTGGTTCAGATGTGCTTTTGAAGCACAATAAATGAAACATTGACCAACATTTTCATGTGCAACAATGGCAACGCTTATTGGTTTACTGTGTGGTGTCTTTATGACAGAGCACTTTGCCTTGCTGCTGAAATGTACCACACAAACAAACTTGACTGACTGACTGATAAATAGCTTTAGGGAGAGAACCTGAGTGCTGAAAGCTACGCAAAGTGAAGGTTTCTGCAACTTCCCATGTGGGAGAGGGGGATTCTGTCCACAAAGCTTTTCACAGGGGGGGGGGGGTTGGAGGAGAGATGCTCTTTTTTTTTTTTTACACAGCCAAACAGTTTTGGACCAGGCTTCAGGGTGTGTGCTGCAACCTTCGGCTGGGAAAGAATGTGCTCTCTTCTTCCTTTTATGCCTCCTGCTCTTGTCTATATTTGAACATGAGAACCTCAGCTGTGGTGTACCAGATGCTTTTTCTCTGGGTTCAGACTGGGAGTTTCTTCTTGGTGTGGCCTTGTGATTAAACACTGTGGCAGGGAGAGAATTTGAGCAGCTTGGGACTCCCTCCATCGGTCAGAGTCCCCATGCAGCAATACAGCTCTGCGGTCACAGGGAGACTGAAGCTATTATCTTACACATTGTTCAAATTTAGGTATCGGATTTTGGTCGCAGTCCCTGCTGATTTTCTTTTCTTTCTCGAAAAACAGTCAGGGAGCATTTGTGTGGCCTTATTTTATGTCCAGTTGGTCAGTAAATTATTGGCATGATGAAGATAAGGGCTTTTTAAAATATCACATATCAGAGCAAAAATAGCAACGTGGTCTTAACCAAAACCAGATGAGCTGCAGGGGCAAACGTCTCCCCCTCGGTGTTTATACTGAGAGTCCCACTTTCATTCTGCACGTTTTCTGTCTTCTTTTATCACCTTTATCTTGTTGCAGCTTGTCACGGCTGTGCGAACATCACAGTGCAGATCGCTGTGATTTTTAGAGGTGGGGTTCAGCAAGTGGTCCGTTGCCCCGTTTCTTTCACTAAAGCTTTTTACACCAGGATGTTAGGAGGAAGGGGAGGGTGGGAGCTGCACAACACTGCCTTGTACTGATGTGCTAACAATAACAAACTATTCAGAAACTGCATATGAACCGACAATAACTTACTGTAGGGTTGTACTATTCCCAATTTTAGTAGCATGCGTCTTCTTTCTGGAAGTTGTATTCAAGTCTTGGAGTGGCCTAGTCAAAGTCCAGACTTTAATCTATGGATGGAGCAAAATATTAGGGTCATGGGAAGGAGGTCTTCGAATCTTAAACACCTGAACCTCATCACTACAGACAAATTGTAAGAATACCAGAGAAGTAAGACAAAAAGTTGGTCAGCAATTAACAGAAGCATTTGCCTTTTGTTATTCCAGTATTTTTTTTTCTCCTAATAGAAACGGATGTAAAAAGTTTTTTTTTTTTTTTAATATTTTTTGCTAAAATTCAAAGTAAAACAATGCCTGTTTTACTTTCCTACGTTGTTTTATTGTCATCTGTTGAGTGTCTTAGTCAAATGAAAATACTTTTGAGCCTCAGGTCTGAATGTTTCCGAGTTTCATTCAGCTGTCCACCCACCGCCTGCGGTTCTGCAATATGGCGGCTTCATTTATGAAAACTCATCTTAATGAAGGAGACAACAGGCTTAATTAGTTATTCCTAAATTTTGAACAACAATGCTCATACACTCAGGTGTTCAGTACGGTATCTCGTGTGTTTTACCGTGTGAAAGTTGAGTTTTTATCCAGTTCCATCCTGTCACATGTCAATGCAAGGAACTTAACACTGAATCGCTGACCGATGGATCTGCATATTGTTGTGTGAATGTGTCATTGTGACTGAGTGCAAGTGTAAAGTGTATTGAGTGGTTTGTATGACTAAAAAACTAAATGAATTCAGCCTACTTACAGACAACAACACACAGCTTTATGCATTGTCCCCATTCCAGAGACGGCTCCCATGCATGTAAACTAAAACAAAGCTTAATTTCTGCTTTTCTTAAGGTAAGCTAACAAATGTAAAAGAACTATTTTGCAGGAAATATTCAGCATGACTTATTTAAAATTGTTTTTTTGGGGGGGGGGGGGTAAAAAGTTGTGACGTAAAACAATTGCAGAAGCCTTATGAGACTCATGGAGGACCTTCAACCCTTAGCAGTCAAATCACTATTAACCAGGTGTAAGTAATGAAATGATCACTTGAGAACAAATCCCCAGGAAATAGCACAGCGCTGATTTAATGGATGCCAGTGCATTCTTTTAAAACTCAGCTATGCAACAATAAACCCCTGAAAGTGCCAAGGGAAGGGGAGACAAAAATCCATGCGAAAAGCTTTCCTTTGTGGCTTGCAGTCTGGTGCCAATTATCCTGATTGGACAGAGTCTGCTGTGAGAATGTGATTACACATCCCAGCACCAAAGCCACGCAACATCAGGTGTTGGACAACATGGGGGGAAAAAAAAAAAAAAACTGAAATTGGAGATGGGTAGTAAAGATGGGGGGATGGGAACTGGCCAATTGCAGCCTGCATGCGCTCACAAAAATTAGAAATTAGATCTTTTCACAGCCAGACTAAACACATTCCTACACAAAACGGTGTATTAATTACAAAATCTGGAAGGCACCTAACCACACGTTCCTTAACGCCTGAGCAGTTTTACGACATGTTGGATTCATTTCTACGAAGTGCAGCTCATTCAGCAGCAGGCCTGGAGACGGTTAAGGAAAGGCCAGATTTAACTTGGAGCCAGAACAGATACAAACGTGC